GGTGGTGTTCTGCAGCAAATAAGTCCTTTATTGGTGATTAGCTCATCAATATTTCACCCTTGTTGACTGGATTAGTGCTTTTATTTAAAAAATACTCATGGAGGCTCAGCGCTTGAAGCTCAAGTGCCTAGGGTGCCAGCCATATACACCAGAGCTGGTGGCTTTGAATCCAGCCGGGGCCCACAAAACAATGATGACAACTACAACAACAACAACAACAACAAAATAGCCGGGCATTGTGGGAGGCGCGTGTAGTCCCAGCTACTTAAGGATGTTGAGGCAAGAGAATCCTTTAAGCCCAAGAATTGGAGGTTGCTGTGAGCTGTAATGTCATGGCACTCTACCCAGGGTGACAGCTTGAGACTCTGTCTCAGAAAAAAAAAAAAAAAACTCATGGAATTTCAAAATCCTGTCCATGTTCTGGGATGTAAGGAGAAGGTACCATCTGTGAAAGAGAGCCCTTACCAGATGTCAGTTCAGCTAGGATCTTAATCTTGGACAGCCAGGCCTCTACAACTCTATGAAATAAATTTCTGGGTTTTCATAAACCATTCACTTAAGTGTAATTGATTACAGTGGTCTGAATGTGCTATAAATGTATTCACAAGTGTTAATATAACTGCAAAGATACCTTGATAATTATAACAAATATCCTTTGAATTTCTGAAATCTGATTTTTTTCAACTCAACCAATTTATCTAAAAGGATCACTAATATGGGGACAGCTTTAGTAAATAAGTTACCTTCTTCTGCAATAAAAAAATAACTTACACTAAAATAGCCTTATTATTTACACTTTGATTTTCACATGAAAGATTAACATCTTTTATAAATGGAAGATGTTTATGGTCAAAAATGATTTTAACCAATTCTGCTTGAAATGAGTAGATTAAAACTTACACTTTACAATCTCATTATTGAAATTTTCAAAACTCTTCTAACCAAAATTTTTTTAAATGTAATTCAACCTTAAGATCATGACCATTGAGATCTTTAGAGCTCTCAATTTGCATTGCCTTCTTTATAGACATCTTTGTTTTACAATAAATAATTCCAGTAATTCAAAAATGGTACATGTTAAAATTAGAAAATCAGAGAACACTAGTATATGTAAAGGAGTTAAGCAATAACTCTTAAATCTCATTATCAATGAATACAAAATAGCATTTCACTTATTTCATTGCATTCCCTGCCAACTTTATTTTGGCAAATATTAATTCAAGTTGCAGAGTATTCTGTGTGTCTGTGTGTGTAGGTCTCTGTGTGCACATATGTGGATGTGTTTACAACTGATAGAGGATCTTTATCACTTTGTATGTGAGTGTTGTAATAGCAACATAGACAATTAAACTTTAATTCCTCTTTAGGATTAGTTTGATTTTTAAGTTTGCAAGGCTGACATCTTGTAAAAGTTTATACATTTCATCATTTTTGTGAATTTATTCATTAATAATGACTAATGACATATCTTATTGCTAATATAAGTTATGACTTAGGTTGATTTTTTCATTTTTATGAAGTGATACAATTTCAAAGACAGGGACAACAATATCTTTTTCATTGACTGGAGAACAGAAGCTATCAGAAACTAACTTTGAGATATTTTGGAAGGTAATAGACATAATGGCCTCTAACATGATTGCGTGTAATTTCCTGACATAGATATTTCGTAAATTGAATGCAGAGCACTTTTTTTTGCCAATTTTTCATTTGGACCTTTTAAGAAGTGAGGCACAGTTCTCAGATTGTAATTACATCATCTCAAATTGCAAAAATTCTTATTGATGAATAACAATGAATTAAACAATACTTGAAATGTAAAATTGAGAACTTATAAAGGTGTGGATTTTAATAAAGCTAAAAATAGCCTTTCCTACAATGAGGATATATCATTTTCTCATCCTGACATATTGTTTGAAATGGTTGAGATGTTGCTTGATGATATCCAAATTTACATGTAAATTCAACTTCTTCACATGATTTGGAGTAAAGCTTTCCTCTGTCTCGCCACCTTAATGTTATGTTATATTTTTCCTTGATTTCTTCTGACATTATTCATGGATCTAGAATAGAAAAAAATGAAAATAAAACATTTATCTGTGTTATATAATGGTTCAGGAATGCTTTCTCAAAACCCTTTCCAAACCAACTCTGTAATTAAAAATATCTTATGAAAATTAAAATGGTAAATGATATATAAATCAGATTCTAGGTTTAATGTGTGATATTGGGTATTATTACCAAAAATTCATACCACTTATATAAAAAGTCTAGCATTTTTTAAACTACTATCACTGTTTTTGTTTGAACAAAATCTTGGTCAGATGGTACAACCATTTCGTCATACGAGGAATAAGATGTGGGGATAATGTATAGCATGGCATATAGCTAATAATGCTTTATTTTTAACTTGAAATTAGGTAAGAGAGCACATTTTAAGTGTCTTTACAACACATACACTATTATACATACGCATAATAGTACCTACAGGTAATGATAAATGTGTTAATTTATTGGATTATTGCATCATATATGCAATACATGCATATACACTTTACAACACATACACTATTATACATATGCATAATAGTACCTACGGGTAATGATGAATGTGTTAATTTATTGGATTATTGCATCATATATGTATGTGTATGTGTATGTGTATATATATATGATCATCACATCATACACCATGTATATATTTTTTCCAACACAAAGTTTTAATTAAGTATAAAAGTAAAACAGAATTTTCTATAATATATTTCTCACATATAAACATTTGGTAGGCAAGCATTCAGTAGGATAGCTATGTGTTTCTTTGGGAGAATTCTATTATAAATGACAAAATGTGATACTTATATACTGACTTTTCCATGATCCATGAGAATATAAAAGTACTTACTTAAGCATTTTGGTGGTTCTGACCACTGTCCATTACTACATGTTATTCGCCTGTTACCCTGAAGTTGATATAAGTTCTGACACTGATATTCGACTGTTGAATAAGGAGCATATACTGCTAATGGGAATGAAGTGATGTCTCCATTTTCAATAGGTGGAGGGGGCCCACATTTTCCTTTAGAATCTAAAAAATACATCATTTATTTGATTCATTGAGAGAACACATCTAAATCCAAGTTTAAGTAAGGCAAATAGAAACAGACTATTTTCCACAATATCAACATTTAGGTGATTTCTGGGGAAATATATAACAAGAAATTTTAATTCTTCAAATTGCTACATTTTTAAATGTTATTTTTTCTTTTTCACTAAAAGCATACACAAAGCATTAAGAAATATGTCTACTTTGCAGGATTCTGGGTCAATAAACATCTTTCTTAGTGAAAAAGTGTGGAACAGATAGCTCAAATAGAAAAAGTCTGTTCTTTTAATATACTATATGCTGAGGAGTTGGTTGAGTCTTTACTCATTTTTTTTCTCTTGGTTTTCATTTTCATCACAAAAGAAACATGAGCTCCATGAAAAAATTAAAGTACAAATCTATCGAAGGTAAAAGGAATGGTTGACTTCAAAATATGTACAAAATGTATATCTACTCAGTATAATTCAAACTCCTGAACATAATGAAAAAAGAAACAAACAAAGAAAGAAAAAGAAAACCACATGAGAGGATTCTGAAAAATGTAGAGAATTCTTTCTGGTGAGAGATTTCCAGACTCCAGGAAAGACAAAACAGTGTGTTATCCTAACAGGATCCCATTCTATTTAGCCAAATGCTCAGATTAGAAGCAACCAGACAAGACAAAGCCTTTTTTTTTTTTCCTAGCAACATCTTGCCTCCTATAGGAAAGCATAATAAGAAGCCAATATATTTTTTTCAATTGTGTTTGCTGTTTGCAGCAAAATTATTTCATTTAATATGAAATATGAATGTAGGGACAGGAAATACAAAAGGCATTAATATTCAACACACTCTAAATGAAAGTAACGTTTCCCTAATTCACTTGAAAGGTAAGATTTCAATACCAGTAGAGAGTAAGAAATTACATATATAAGATTTATAGCAAGATTGATTAAAAAATAATAAAACAAACCACAGCCTAAAGATATACTTAAAAATAATAAACATGAGTAAATGTAAGATTCTTTAAAAGTGTTCCCGAAAGGAATGGAGGAATAGGGAAACAGGACTGTGTGTGAGAGAAAACACACAAACAAAATGACAAACAGAAATCCTAACACATGGATAATAACTTTAAACGTAAATGTTCTAAAGACACAAATGAAAAGATCAAGAATGGCATGATGGATATGGAAAGAAGACCCAACCATGTGCTGTCTGCATTAAACTCATTTCAACATTAAAACATGTGTATTCTAAGTAACGGAATGAAAAAAAATACCAGGAACAATGTACTTTTTAAAAAGTAAAAGTAGATAATATCAAATTTCCTTTGTTGGATTCCATATTTCCAGAACCCTAAATTTAAAGTGCCGAAGACTATGTCCTAAGACTCCTTTATACAAAAAAGAAGGTTCCCTGGAAGGGCTCAGTAAGTCACATGTCTTTAAATAAACTCTAGATCCTGAAGATGCCCAAGTCTAGATCACATTCTAAGATCCTTCTTCATCTGTCTATTATACACTTAAAAATGGTGATCACTTAGTGCTGTCAATTGTATATAATGTGCTTTTACACTTTTATTGCTCAGGAAATATCTGAATGTCTTAATGCTAAAGACAAGAATCGATTCCAAATTCTAGTTATTCCTTTACTCTAGCTGAATCTTTCTTGGAAATAAAATACTGCATTATTTGGTTGAATTCATGAAAATTTAAATTTTAAGTGCCATCATTTTGTTTGTGTTTGAAAAATATATTCTACATGAATTTTTTCATTTTATTGATATCAACATATTTTCCCCCTGATAGATATTCTGGGAAAATATAATATCCTACCTTTGCATTGAGGTGGCTCTGTCCAGGTTCCATTTAGACACACCACTTCTACTTCCCCAAACATGTCAAAAGGTTCATTACATTCATAATGCACTCTCTCACCATTTGGATACCTACTCTTCTGTCTTGTTGTTATCTTAGCATTTTCCACTGTGGGTGGATTCACACAGGAAATATCTGAATAGAAAGAAAAAAATTATTTCTACATAGTGCTCATTTTGAGCAAATGCATTTCATAGGGGATTTTTAATTCAATAAATTACCTCTCCTAAAAGGCTTTGCTAATTTAAATAAATTCACATGTAATATTTAGGAAAAGAGGAACACTCCTTCTCCTTCCTTAACCAGAACACTGATAGATTTTTTTGTTTTTTCCTTTTGGTGATCAGTGAAAATGAAAGTTTTCCCAGACATTTCCTTGTCAGTTTTAACTGAATAAATATTACAGGTTCTATAAATTTAATAATAATTTATAAAATGCAAATAAATCAAAATAACTAAATTATGTGGCATAACATTTTAGTTTGCAATCATCTGTTTATTAAGTGTAATTTTAGCTTCTTAAAAACAAACACATTGACACTTTTTTCAGAGATCAAGTCAACGATTCTTCAACACACCTTGAAGAACATCCTAGTTAAAAGAAAAATATGATTAATCATAGGATCTACACTGAAGATGTGAATGAATAACTAAAAAAAAGTCCATCATCATAAAAACATTTAATAATTTAATTGCCAATGTTTAAGTGTATTTTTCCTGAATGATTTATAATCCATCAGAGAGTTTCATGTGCATAGAATTCTCTGGAGAACTTAGTAACAATAGTTTCAGGATCCCAGACCTAAAGTCTTTCATTCAGGATATCTACAATTAGCCAATGAATGTTCATTTCCATTTTAACAATTTTGCAAAAGGTGATGATGCTTCTGTTCCTGGATTATACTGAGAACTATTGGGCTAGAAGGTTGAGCATTGGATACTCAGTTCCATCCTTTTATTTTTAGGTATAAACCTACTTTGTCCTGGTCTAAAAAAAAATTTAATTTATATTCATTTTGAAATGTTGATAGAGAATAGTTTATATTTTATTGCTCAAGACACTTCCATGAATAAATTTGAAAGTTTATCAAAGTACCTCTGCATGTTATATTTCCCATCCATGTTCTCCTAATACATGTTACAGTGTTGTGTCCATCTAATTGATAATCTGCTACACATTCATAAGTCAATTGTTCTCCCGACCTATATGAATCCTTCTCATGCCCTATAAGTACAGCGTTATCAAATCTGGGAACACCAGAACAATCAGTCTCTGAAAGAAAGGAAATATTTACTGGTGTTTGTTTAGTAAATCATTAAAAAGACATTATATATAGTAATTGTATACTAAAATAATAGTTAGATAAATATAGAACAGTAAATACCAGATAATATTTTTCCTCTAACTTGACAAAAAAAATAGCAGCTTTGAATTAATTACATAAACTTGTTTTAAATTTTTTGGCACAAAAGATGGGAATGATATCTAAAGTCTGAAGAGACATTGCTAGTTGTAGTGATTAAGGTTCCATTTTTCACATTCAAAATTATTTTTGCCCATACAAGCCACTGTGTTTCAATTTTTTCTGTCTGACAAATACATTACTTATAATAATTATTTAAAATATTTTAGGAAGTATATTTACAGAGAGATAGTTGCTACAGTGATAGAAGGCAGAATAACAATGAGATTCAGAAGTGGGGGTCTGCTTTACTTTGTGAACTGAGGTAATGGATTGAATGTCTGAGGATGTACATCATTGGATGCTAAAAGTTCGCAAAAGATGATGTTAAAATTTAGTAATTTGGCTTATGATGTCTAGCATTTTCATTGTTAGAGCTGTAATTCTCTGCAACAATCCAGAGCCTTCAAGAAATATCTTGTTAAATTCAACATGCTGCATACTTTCTTATTTGTGTCATTTATACTTTGCATGGAGGATGTTTATCTTATATAAAATATAATAAAATACACTATACTTATGCATTTTGGCTGTTGAGACCATTTTCCTCCTAAGCATCTTGTAAATTCATGGCCATCAATTCCAAAACCTTCAGAACATTTGTATGTAAATTCTTCACCATATTGATAACTGTCTAACTTAGGAGATACAACACCATAATTAATTGAAGGTGGTGGTGCACAAGGAAGTCCTAAAAAAAAAAAAAATGAAGGCATCAATACATGTTTCACGATCTCAGAAATTTAATTTTATGTATTTGCTTTCACTCTTAGTAGTTTTATTTGAAAATGAATAACACAGGCGCTACTATGACATCATCTAACAGTGATTTTCAACTGGTATGCCATGAGAAGATCATTTTTAAAGATCATTAATTAAATTATTTTTGAGAAGTTCAAAGCACAATAAGTACATTCTTTTTTGTACTTTTTGGTTTGATCAAAATAATTTAAGTATGCAGTGCAAGTCTAAGTATAGGTTCAAGTGTGCTGTGAGTTATAAAGGTTGAAAAACACTCAAGGTCCTAGATGGTACACAACTGGTTCCCCAAAAGCACCATTCTGGTGTCTGTCTATCTGGCTATATGCCCCAAATTGAACAAGAGCATGAAAATAAAAATTTTAATATGTTTAAGAAGAGATAACAAGTGCTTTTCTACCCAGTTCTTAGTGATAATTTGGGACGCTTTGAGAATTAATAATCCTAATAAAACTATCATACAGGTAAGAAATCAGAAAAGATGCTGTAGGAGGACCCTAAAATACTTTAAAGTGAGTGGCAAAGAAAAACACTACAACAAATCAACAGGTAGGTTTAATTTCATTCTATCTCTCTCTTTCTTTTTTTTTTTTTTTGCAGTTTTTTTGGCTGGTGCTGGGTTAGAACCTGCCACCTCTAGTGACGCACTCTACTCTTCTGAGCAACTGCCACCACCCATGTTTTATTTTTTTAACAAAGAGACATTCCAGCACAAAAAGTGACTCTCAAATACCAATAACATTTTTAAAATTATTTAATTATGCAAAAATTATTTTAAAGGTATAATATCTAATGATTTTATATGTATAGCAATCTAAATTATTCTGTCCCCTGACTTGCCAAGAGATTATACTTTTTAATTTTTTATCTGTAATTAGTACAGGTAAATAATAGTTGTTTATGTTTGTAGGGTACATGTGATGTGATGTCTTGATACAGGCATATATTATAAATAAATCAAATCAGGGCAATTGGGGTATCCATCGCCTCAACCATTTATCATTTCGTTGTGTTAGGTACATTTTAATTCTACTCTTTTAGTTATTTTCAAGGATACCCTACCTTATTGTTGATTATGGTCACTTTATTGTACTATCAAATATTGTTCATTCTATCTAACTAACTATTTTTGCTCCCATTAACCATTCTGTCTTTATTTTCTGCCTGCCCACTACACTTTCCAACCTCTGGCAACCCCCTTCTACCTTCTGGCTCAAGGAGATCAACCGTTTTTAATATTTAGCTCCAAAATATGTGGAGGAACATGTAAGATTTGTCTTTCTGTGATGAACTTATTTCCCCTAACATAATGTTCTCCAGTTTCATCCATGTTTTTGCATATGACACTATCTTGTTCTTTATTGTGCCTATATAATATTTCATTCTATATATGTACTACCATTTCTTTATCCATTTGCCCTTTCATGGACACTGCTTTAAATTCCAAATCTTGTCTATTATAATTAAAGCTGCAATAAATATGAGAGTCCAGATATCTTTTTAATATACTGAATTCTCCTCCTTTGGATGTATACCCACAAGTGGAATTGCTTGGTCAAGTGATAGATCTATTTTTAGTCTTTGAAACCTCCATACTATTCTATATGTAAGAGATTATTCCTAATGAATTACACTGTAAATAGGACTTAAGTTTTCATACTGTCCTTACCTACACATTGAGGTGGAGAACTCCATTTTCCCAAGTAGCATGTTATCTCATTGTCTTCAGATATTCTGAAACCATCTTCACAAATATAACTTAATTTTTTACCGTGTGTATAAACCTTGGGTTCAATTGTATCTTCCATTTCATTTGAAGATGCAGATGAATAAATAGTTCCATGCTCTATGTGAGGTGGTTGAGAACATGGAATTTTTTCTATGATATGAAATGAAAGGGTAAAGCACAAATAGATTGAGTAAATTGAAATATAAAGTGAATTACTCTTTTGGATTTTAAAATGGTATATTTTAAAAACAGTCACATTTGAAAATAAAATAATTTTGAATCTTGCCTTATGTTACCATTCCCTTGCTCAATATCTCCCTACATTTATGTCTTATTTATTATGGTTAATAGAAACAAATAAAAAATGTTACCTAATAATTATAATATATCCCACAGGTGTTATTTATGGACAAAATATACTGCAAGTGAAAGAGTGCTGATTGATTTATGTGTCTAGATCATAATTTATGGTGTTAGGATAAAGTAATAGATATAGAAGACGATCTTCATCTTGTTTATCTACAAAGACCACAGGAGAGCATACCATTTGAAAGAATCTTATAAAGCAAGTTATACACTACTGACCAGCACATCGTGGCACATTTTTCCATTTTCCATTTTTGCATAAAATTTCTTCTTTCCCCTGAATTAGATAATTTTCTTGGCAGACAACAGATACTTTTTCTCCATCTTGATAATTCACTGTGGTTGTCATATTCTAAGCGTTGGGAATTTGAGGTGGAGGTGGGCATAACTGTATTTGTACATCTAAAAAAATTAAAATTAGACTTCTTGATTAATAACAACTTTCAATAAATATAAAATTCAATATATGTTTTATAATAGTCATATAATAATGGCTATATTCTCTGTTTACATGTTATACTTTTCAGCTTGTATAGCAGTTCAATGCTATCACTTTTGGCTTACATTCTCATAGTTATTTCCCAACTACATTTTGCATAGGCAATCTTATGTGATTTATAGGCATGATTTTAATTATTTCTAACCTTTAGGATGTTTAAACTGGATTACACACTATGGGATTCAGTAAACCATTCTAAGAGAGAAGTTAATAGCAAAGATCTCAAATAAACAACCTAATGACACAATTCAAGGAACAAGGGAAAGAAAAAAAACTAAGCCCAAAGTTAGGCAAAGGAAGGTATAACAAGAATTCAAGTAGAAATAAATACAATAGAGACTAGAAAAGCAATGGAAAAAATCACTGTGATTAAGATTAGTTTTTTGAAAAGCTAAAGAAAATTGATAAACTCTAAGTTAGACCTATTAAGAAAAGAAAGAAGTTTTAAATAAATAAAATCCAAAATGAAAGAGTACACATTAAAAGTCATAACACAGAAATTGAAATTAATCATAAGAGACTATTATGGCAATTAGATGTAGTATGCCAACAATTTGGACAACTTAGAAGAAATGGATAAATTCCCTAGAATTTCACAGAAACGTAACCTATGAAGACTGAACCAAGAAGAAATTGGAAATCTGAAAATACCCAAAATAAGTAAGGAACTTAAATAATCAATTAAGACTCCCTTCAAAGAAAAGCCCAGAACAAGGTGATTTCATGGCTAAAGTACAACAAATCTTTAAAGAACAACTAATACTAATCCTCCTAATATAGAAAAATTGATAAGAGGAAATACTTGTAACTTTATTTGACAACTTTAGCATCACCTTAATACCAAAGTCAGATGAAGGCACTACAAGGAAAGAAAATTACATGCCTATATGACTGATAAATATATGAGTAGTTGCAAAAATTTGCAACAAAATACTAGCAAAATTGAGTGGCAGCTGTGAATCAAAGGAGTAGGGCGCCGGCCTACATAGCAGAGGTGGTGGATTCAAACCTGGCTCCAGCCCCCCCCCCAAAAAAAATACTAGCAAAATGTATATTAAGGGGATCAGTTCAGAATGTTGTGAACAAGATGGATGACTAAAGGTGCCTGGTATTCAAGTCCCCAACAAAAAAATAAATAAACAAACAAAATCCAGCTGGTGTCCAATGAATATTACTGGGGTAAACAAAACCAATAAAATCTCTGTGGGGCAATACAACTCAGGATAGGACAACACCATAAAAATTGGACTGAAGCATTCTACTTCTGCTGCCCCATCTCCCACCCTGAGATTAGTTTAAAGCCAGGAGAGACTTCCCCTTGCAGGGAAAAGTTGAGCAGGATTCTGGACCAAACCTGACATACCCCATCCAACCACAGACACCAGTAGACATTGCTAAAGGGGAATCACACAGTCCTCACAGGCTGGAAGCCTACTTTGGGGAAGCTCCCTGAAAATTCACATGGCTGCATTGCCCCTGTTTAGAAATCTATATTGCACACTCCCCAGCTGCCATGATCAAGATGATCAAGCATAATACCATCTTGAAATCGGAACCACTGCTAGAGTGTACCCTTCCTTGGGAGCCAGTAGCCACTGTTTCTCTCCATCCCTGAACTCCATCATCATCATCCCATCTCACTCACATGGGAGGCTTCAGCGCCAAGACCCTCACTATTAGAGGGAGGCCTCAAAGGAGTGGCCATAACTCTGGATCCCAAGTCTATGCAGCACTCTGTTGTCTATGGAACAGGTAGTCTCATAGAGTGGGGCAGCCAAACCCAGGCTGACCAAACCATCATCCATGTGATCTTTTGATTGAGAAGCAGCATGACAGGTTCCCCGGGTTATCTCCCTTTGATTCAGGTTACCTGTTCCACATGAACACTCTCAGCCCAAAAGACCCCCAGCAAACTCACCCCTAGCAAGCTCACCCCTAAGCAACTCCAGGCACCACATGCTTATGCCCCCATTTAAGAACTAGACTGCCAGATTTGTCCCTAATGAGCTTCCCCCCAAGATGGGCAAACCCAAAGCACGGGGCCTATTAGCCTGAGAACCAACTTAGTGCTTCACTTTCCAAACCATTGCTGTTACAAATTCCTGTGGCATAAACTGCTGAGGTACTCACAGATACCTGACTTGAACTGCAGAAAGAAGTTCTTTCTTAAAACTGAAAAACTTCACAGAGACAACATTACTATGCACATGCAGATAATGCACCTTACCCATACAAAAATATAGAATATTTATAGGAAAAAGTCTTCTCCTACAAAAGCTACTCCATAAAATTGGAAGAAGCAACTCTTTCTCAGATGTGCAGATATCAACATAGGGACATAAAAAACAGAAAAAAGAAAAATAATTTACCTCCACAGAAACATAATTGTTCTCTAATAAAAGACTCTAAATAAAAGGAAATTTTAAATGCCAGAAATAGAACTCAAAATAGTGATATAAAGGAGTGATATAAGTAAATACAGATAAACAATTTAACAGAACAGAAAGAGAATTTGTGGTTGGAAAAAAATTCGGCAGAGATGAATATCCTAAAAAGAAATAAATTAAAATCTTAGAGCTCAAAAGTTACATAAAAGAAATAAAAAAATACATCTGAATACTTCAAAAACAGAATCTGTCAAGAAGAAAAAACAATTCTGAACTTGAGAACAATTCCTTTCAAATAACCTTAAAAAAGAAAGGAAGAATAACTTGTGGTACCCCTAAAGTTACCATATTTAGGGAAAATAGGAAATTGTAGCTAAATGTACATTTATTTACAAAATATTCATTGCAAAATTTCACAAAGAGGTTGCCAACACATAGGGAATAGTTTGTAAATATTTTGTAAAATGTTGTAATGAATATATTGTACATAAAGTGATATTTAGTTATAATCTTCCAATCTCCATTATGCATGGCAACTTTTGGGACATGCTATAGATTAAAGACAGCCTATGAGACTTGTGTAACACCATAAAATGAGCAAATTTATATATTATGGGTTTTATCAAGGAAGCTTTATGTTACCAGACAGACTAATTCCCAAGTTAGCTGAATGGAAGAAACGATAAAAACCAGAGCAGAAATAAACAAAAAACAGCCTAAAAAGCAATGCAAAAAATCAAAAAAATTAAAAGTTTTTTTTTTTTTTAAGACAAATGGGATTGGAAAACTTTTAGTTAGACCTCAAAAAAGGTATGATTCAAGTAAATAAGATCAGAGATGGAAAAGGACACATTACAAGTGGCACCATAGAAATACAAAAGACGATTAGAAAAGACTATGGACAACTATAGGCTAACAAACTGGAAGAGCTGGATGATATAGACAAATTCTTGGAAACATACACCTGCCCAGAGTGAATCAGAAAGAAATAAAACCTGAACAGACTAATAACGTTAGTGAGACTGAATCAGGAATAAAGAGTTTCCCAACAGAGAAAAGTTCAGGACCACAGAAACTCACTGCCTGATTCCAACAAACATTTACAAAATATTTATAGTCCCTGTGAAACTAGTCCAAGAAATTGAAGAGGAGAGAATTCTTTCTATTCATTCTAGTAGGCCAGCCTTACCCTGAAACCAAAACCAGACAAAAACACAAGAATGAGAGAAAACTGCAGGCCAATATCCCTGATGTACAGAGTTGCAAAAATCCTTAACAAAATTTTAGCAAAACAAATGCAGTATCTTATTAAAAATATCAATGACTGTGATCAAGTGTGATTTATCCAAATGAAGAAATGATCAAACATATGCAAATCAGTATATGTGATCCATACATTATCAGAAAGGACAATAATCATATAATCATCTTAATAAGCCTAAATATAAATGCTAAGACCTAAAGCTTCAAGAAAACTCTATAGAACATGTGCATGTCACTGCATGTAAATATCATTTGTTTCCTTAAAGACTCTACACATGTTGAAATGTAGATAACAGATTTGGCTTTTCTATGCGTGTGACACTACTTTCTCTATATCCTAGACTGTCAAATGTTGCTCAAAATATTGAGAGTAGTGAGACAAAGTATCCTACTATTGGGCAGCAAACCACAGATATGAAAATTGGGAAGACTGGTATAAATTCTGCACTATTCAAGGGGTGCTAGAAGTGTCAATATGACTGAGATTTCAAGATAAATATAGAATAAACAAATAGGTAAACAGACTGTCACATGGACAGACAGGTAGATAGGAACATATACACATACGGATATTAACAGACATATAACAAAGCCTTACCCATAGATCTAGGTACAGGTTTATAATAAACAGACTTAGAAGCAATAGCACTCCAATAGTAAAGAATACATGTAGTGCCCAGTATTAATTTAAAATCATTTATATGAGTTTTTAATATGAAAGATAACTAATATACATGATACAATTAATATTTAGACACTGTGTTTTTCATTAGTTTCTAAATTACCTTCCAGGTTAAAAGCATCTGTAATTAAAAAATAGCTGAATTTTTTATTAGTCACAAATATACTACCTTCCCAGATAAGAAATAGAATATATTTTGAAAACATTGCAAATAAGACCTTACTTGTGCATCTCGGGACAGGCTCCCATCTTCCATTTATGCAGACTGAGTGTCTGTATTGTTCTCCACATCTGTACCTTATGCTTTCATTATGCTTAAATTCGTTCTTCTGCTGTATATTACCCTCAATTATAATTGTTTTTGGCCTTTTACACTTCTTAAGTTGATCTGTTGCTATAAAATGAAAATATTACCACAAAAAGACTAATTATCAGAATCAAAATAACTCTTACATAAACAGAGAGTCTAATGTATCTATACAAAAAAATTTTGACTTATGCTCATTAATTCCACCATTTAAGTTATTCCTGATTACACTGAATAAGATGTACTATTATGTATGAACAAAAGCCCTGTATTCAAACCTTGAAATATCAGAAAGAATACCTTTTATGAAGATATTTTGTATCATGGGAACTGAATATACAAGTTTTCCTTTTTGTATGATCTATATGGTAAATAGTCATCACATGACTAAATGTAGTCCCATATTTAGAATCTATGCACATGTTCACATTCATTTGTTTTCCTTGCCTCAAACATCATTATATTATTTTTAATCCATAATATGAAAACATTGTATTAAAAGATTGTGGGAATAGAATATAAGAAGTTATCAATTTAAATATATTTTTCAAATGAGATAATGTAATAAATAAGAAAAATACATTCAAACTATGCAGAAGATGAACATTCAGGCAGATCTTCTGTGTGATCACAAAAAAGGAACAAATACTTATATAAAAAAAATTGGGTGCTTAAAGTTATGGCCATTTCTGTTCAATATATTATCTTAGAGGCTTTGAGAAACAATCTTGTAACCTAGATCATCTCATAATCCTAAAATATTATAAAATAATAATTGTTAATAGCATTGTTATCAATTAAATATGGACTGTAGAAGCTTTTATGTACTATATATTTCCAAAACTCACTGAATATGGGAGTCTTTTTGAATTTGATAAGTGTGGGTCTCTGATAACATCTGTGGTTGATGATTTTTAAAGCAGAGTCAATTGAGGATGAACAGAGTAAAAAAAAGTTTAAATAAAGGTTAAATAATTTGCCAAATAATGATTTTTATGGTGCAACCTTAAAAAATAATGTAGGCTAATTCAAAACATCCTAGAAACTTAAGAAGTAGTCCTCTTCTTAGGACTGGTACTGAGTATTGAGGAAGACAAAACAGATATTCTATAAGATACAGTAACTGAAGAAAGACAACAGACTTAAGCAGAATAGTGGTGACTGTTGTGCCCTGGAGTTGACTAGTTGATAAAGGGTCTCTGGCTTGTTGGATTATCTGAATATATATGGGGAGAAGTGAAAATGCAGAACAGTGGAAGGCACAAACTAAACATTGAGAGGGGAAAATGGGAGTAAGGTCCATAATAGCTGAAGGGAGTTAGTTACATTCAGCAGAATATAGGTAGATTAACCTTAGGAAGGCAGACTCTGAGATCACAGGAAATTATAAATGAAGCACAAGTTTGTGTGTAGGTTAGAGTGAAAAGTTCAGAGTTTTCAAACTTTATATAATCTTGGGCACTTCCACTCACCCATATGAAATGAGGTGAAACCATCTGAGAAGATAGTAGAGGAGAAAATGGAGGTTTGGTCCTGAATGACTGGCAATACCTTTGACAGGAATTTTAGCAAAAATCTAAGAATAAGTAACACAATGTATCAATTCATTTGACAAACCATTTTTGTATGTCTCCTTTATGTCAGCCAGTCTCTGGGTATTAGGGATATATCAGTAAGCATAAGAAGCATGAATCCCTGCTCTCTGGAGCTCTACCTTTTCCT